TGACGCCATGATGGCGCCTAAGACGAGGACAAAAGGAAGACTCTGCAACACGGGGCGCTACTTCAACTGTTTATTTTTGAAAAAAAGAGGGGGACATATATACACTCAAACCGCTTAACCTCAACCAATCCCAGGCTTCACCGTTGCTCGCAAAAACGCTATCTCTTTGTCTAACAGGTCAATGGCCATGCTGCACGGCCCTCACTTTCTGACGAAAATAAAACAGTACTTTTATGCTTCAACTTTTCAAACACCTTCGAATACCCGCATAATAACAAAACAGAGCGATGATTACGGACATCGTACTAAGATATTCAGGTGGGCTAGTTAGATATGCATAATATAAAAATTAAATAGCGCAAAGGTTAGACAAAGGACAAAGAACAGAACATGTAGACAGGACAAGCGCAAGACAGGACAACTGAAGCATCACCCCCTTTAAGATAAGAACGACAACCACCTCCTGAGAATACACCAGAACCCAGCGATATATTAAAAATGTGCTTCAAAATCGTTATAAGCAAGTGACCACAACCCTTGATAATTCAACTTGGATCGAGGTCTGCTCCAGTCAATAAATTTTGCTTGAGGTGTGTCATAGCCTCTACGATTTCTTCGTTATCTACTCTAAAACCAAAAAACGTGTCCGGGCAGTTAACATGAGCATCACAGGGCTGTGCAACCTGTGGACCGATCGTGTAACATTTTCTGAAGTTGTCATCAAAATATTTGCGACTTCTGCAGAGGAGGAAATATAACTAGCATTTCGATCTCTACAATTTCGCAGTGCAACACCCTGTGCACCGTCACGAGATTGTTGCTTTTCCAACTTCCAAAAGGATTTGCGGTAGCGAATTAAACTACGTTCGACATTATTGATGTGCTGTCGTTTATTGCGGGAGCACGATAAATACTAAATTCTGTATACCAGAGGTTCAAGCCAGTTTTCTTAAAGCGCTTATGAAAATGGTCTTTATTTCTTAAGCAATTCTTGGAATCTTTCGCAAACCAATCAGGGTAAATATAAATGCGAGAAATGTTCTTTGGAACAAAGATATCTATGGCGTCATTTACAACTGCAGTAAACGCCTCTGTTGCCAGATCGGTATCATCCATTGCTAGAACCTCGTTCCAGTTTTAGTTGTAGAAGTGATTATACATTCCAAATTATTCGTTGGTAGACAGCTGTTCGTCCTCTTCTGACTTTTATTTCTTCGCACTCAAGTATAATTCTAAACTTCAAGGTGATCTATATAAACCTATTATCGATCAGCAATCACCCAGGCAGCACGCAGTATTACGTTGATACTGATGTCAAATAATCGGTAAGATTGTGTTGATGCCTTTGTGAACCAGCCGATATCTGTGAAATATTGGATGGGTCACGCCAACGCCTTCCTGACATACCGTACCCGCTGCCGTTTTTGGTTGTGTCGAGATTGTCGTTTGTGAATAGGCTACTTATTTATTTATTTATTGTAACCTTAAAGACCCCCGACAATGAATAAGGGGGTCGTAATACAAAGATTGGTAAAACTGAACCAAGTGGCAAAAAAACAAACAAACAAAGATAAAGAAAATAAAGGTACAAAGCATAAGTTGAAGGTACAAAGCATTTTGCGAAATTGTGGCCTTGAAGCATAACATATAAGAAAAAGATGGGGCACAATAGAAACATGTACACCAGACGCAAGGCACTGATAACAACAAATATCGCAGGGATACGAGACATTTCAAGGTTTAACCTGTCTAGACCGGAGACAAAGGTCGGATGATCGCTGACTAAGGCAATTTCTCTGAAGAGGCTGTGCCAGTCCGGTATAGCGAGGAGTAGTGGCAAGTTTTTAAACATGTTCGTTCGCGCAAATATGGGGTTAATGTTAAAAGGTGGGGGACTTTAATCAAGGCTATGAAAAAATCACAAGTGATCAAGGTGCCTTCTTGTATAAAGGGGCGACAAGTTAAGTCGATGCTTTAAACTGCTTACACTTGTGTGTCGGGAGTAGTCGCAAGGTATAAATCTGGCAGCTTTGTTTTGAAGAGATTCAATCTTTTCTGCTAGATATGTATGACGAGCTTGCCAGATGACTGTTGCATACTCAAGTTGAAATCTGTCAAGGGCAGTGTAGGCAAGAAGTTTTGTATCTAGGTTTACTTCAAATAGTGTTCATTTCAGAAAGCCAAGAGTTCGCGACGCCTTGTTAGGAATGTGTTCAATGTGACGGTGTCACGTTAAGTCCGTTGAGAGTTAAACGCCAAGATATTTAAAGAATGACACATTTTTAACGGCGTCATATTATTGAAGTACATGTAAGAAGTAAGATGTCACTTCGAGGTTAAGGTCACAGCTTTTGCTTCATGTGTATTCACTTGCATCAACCGGGTGTCACTGATAGACGTGCTGCGCTGCGAAGTTCTACAGAACAAACGCGTGACTAAAATTGCAAGGAAAAGGATGAGTTTACATTGAGATGAGGAGAACGCTTACGCACAGTTTCGAACACTAGTTCGAAACTGTGCGTAAGTCGTCTTGCAAAATTCTACTAATGTGAGGCCATAACGGGACTGTAGATTGTGTAATCATCTGCGAAAAGACAACCGCAAGATTTGATGTTAAAGTGAAGACAAATTATGTGCATAAGAAAAAGCACAGGACCCAGTACCGAGCCGTGCGTCACGGGAAGAGGGGAAAAGAGGCGTTTGACAATCCCAACTGATTGGCGTCAGTTAGTCAAACGTTTTCAATCCATTTAACAGTACCTGTGCATAAGTTTAGTTTAGTAAGCTTATATATTAACTGGTTAAGTGGTACGCGATCAAACGCTTTCGCGAAGGCAATTAAAATGGCATCGACGTGTCTGGAAAGGTGAAGAGAATGATCAAGGTCATTTAACAAATCCAACAGCTGCTCCTCACATGAACGTCAACGCAAAAAGCTAATAAAATGAGGTTGATTGATAGCTAGGTGGGTGATATTTTGCTACGATATAATCTGTTCTATAAGGTTACATAAAAAACAGGTTAGTGAGATGGATCTGTAGTTGTCAAATGTATTTTTACCCCCCGTCTTAAATATAAGAACAACAGGGAAATATTTCAAATTGTCAGGTAATTCACCCATGGAGAGTGATTGTTGAAACAGCCTTCTCAGAAGACGGTCAGAAATTGATTTGGTTAGATTTAATAACTTTGTAGATATGCCATCCGGGCCAGGACAAGAGTTAGCGGACAATCGGTCAATGGCACATAGAACCCCAAAGCTAGAAATGACAATATCTTCCACATTGCTTTCAATTGAGCTTTCTATCATAGTCGAATCTAAAAAAAAACATTCTCATCAGTGAAAACTCTGCTGAAAAACTCGTTGAACTGGTCGACCAACTGAGATTCAGCAAGTAAGGTGTCACAAAAACCGAAGCACGGAACCACACTTGCAGGGTGTGGGTTTACAACCCTCCGAAATTCCTTGGGGTCTGACCATAGAATATTCGAGAATAAATGTCAAAGAAACTCCGCTTGGCCTCTTCGTTATCACTTTCTTGCAGCATATATAAGGCATGCGTTTGAGAGGAGGTCCAATCGTTTTCTAAGTCTTCGCACGCTTATATAAACGCTTTTTGTTTTCGGATACTTCGTTTAATTTTAGATGTAAACCACGGGGGAAAGTAGACAAGCGGAAATATTTAAAACAGGAATGCAGACAGCCTGAGATTTTATCAGTTTGATGTGAAACAACACCCAAATTTTATTTACGGTACGCTAATCAAAACCACTCAAGAAAGGGAAAACAGACAATTTCGACATTAAGGATTCCCCATCTGCTCTCTTGTAATCAAAAATTTGTTTCCCTAAAATATCACGCTTTGTAAGGTATGTAAAGAAGGTGCAGTACACAACACGGGGAGGTATTTCTATTATTGGACCGCGTCAAAACCGATACCGAAAAAAAAGACGAAGCAAAACACTATTTGCTTCCTTTTCGTTAGAGAAAGAAACGCAAAGATGCATTGAACCGCTCGGCATTAGCCAATAAGAAACAAAAAGGACAAATCACCAAGCAAGAAGCTTAAAAAGACTAAACCACGTTCTGCGTTTCTAGAAACTGTCTGGTACTTCAGATGACCTTTGTCATCCTGATGATTTACTTATAAGGCTAGAGTTAATCTTCTTAGGTGGGGAAGCATGAAATAAGCTTATTACGTGAAACTCTTTACGGGACTTGCATACCTTAGACGCTTATGTCCTAGAACATTTTACTGTCTTATCTCGCTCAGGAACTGTAAAATGCATCCTAAACAGGGCTCAAGGTTCTGTAATCCACCAAGTCCCAGATTTACATAAAATATGGCCGGCCATATAGTCAAGCCCCTTGAGCATATAAAAATGGTAACGAATAGAGTTCAACGACCGACCCGCACAGCAGCCCTCAACCCAGACGCGATACAGAGACCCATCATGAGCCTCCAGAGCCTAACACCTGAACCGCAGCAGCGTCAAAAAGCTACTGGTGATAATGAATCGAAAGTTCTAAAAATAAAAAGAAAGAAAAGGTGCGTTAAACTTTAAGCAGCTACCGACCACATGTACGCGTCCAATGATAATTACATAATATGCATAAAATGTTTCTTATCATTTCAGACTTAATTACGCCCTTAGAAGGAAAATGTCAGTGAATGTTCTATGCAGATTGTTATAATGCACTGGGTTGTTAAACTCCCCAAAAATAAAAGTAAAAAGGGAGCATCGATCTAAATATACAACTATAGCACCTGGGAGAAACGTGTCATTAAAAAAAATAATGAAAGCACAATGAAGCCCTTAGATGCCACTTGTTAGTGTAGACCAACCCTGAAGTTTGTTTATAATATTTATTTTGAAACAAACATCATTTTCGTAACAACGCTGCTGGTTAATATTGCAAGCGAGGGTCAAAAACCTCTTGTCCTGGTGAGTATATAAGACCGCCGACGAAAGCACGAAAGTCTTACATTTTCGCCAGAAGCTCCCCCAACAACGTCGACCTCAATCAGCTTAAGGTGAGTAACGTTTTCTCAGCTCCTGTGCGAGATACATTTTTTTTTGAGACCCGATTTTTATCGTTTCAGAAGCTCGCTTTATAACTATGAAGTTCGCTGGGCTCACTGTCATCCTTGGCTTTGCCGCATTTGTCGGTGAGTGCGCTCTCGCCGCGGACAAGCGTTTACCTTACCTTTGTTTTGTAAATGGGCAACGCCATTTTAAAAGAAAGTATTCGAATCCTTTAAAGACTTCGACAACTAGTCCGTTTTACTGTAAAATCACGAAGGCAATGCTCGATGGGTAACCATACAAGCAGCAATTTATGAGTCTTCTATAAGGCTCTTTTGTATATGTAAAGCTCAGTTTTATTTTATGCAATTTGATATTGAACGACTATGAATATAAAACAGATATATAATAATTTTGCTGCAACATTTTCGCGTTTCTATATTGCTGACACAATGTGACACCAAGTACAGGCTACGGTTCGTTTGAAAGTAAACCTGTCATGGACAGAGAACACCTTTTTTTTTTACAAAAGGTCGTCAGAAAATGATTTTTGTAAAAAATAATCAAAGGCGCACTTTAAACATTTTGCACTTTAAAAATGCTGATCTTCGCAGGAATGAAAGCAAAAATGTCCTATGTGCGAGGTAATATCTTTGTCTATCAGCTCTGCAATTTTTCAAATAATCTCAACATAAAGATCAGCCAAGGGCCTGCTCATAGTGTACAGTTTTGTTTTTGTCAAAAGGGCCAATTGCTTGCTTTACCTCTGTAGTGTAGTAGACACTATCAATTTTAAAACTGGCAACCTTAAAAATAGTTGATGCCGGCAGCGACAGTTGCTTTATGCATTTTTTGTAGTGGTACGCCCCACTGCTTACATGCTAAGCATTTTGAGTACGGCAACCTCCAAACTGTTTGATGAGCGTGCACAAAAAAAAAAAAAAAACAACATGAGAGCAAACATCAGAATGTTTATGTCGTTTTCATGCTTGCTTTTTTTTTTCCTGACAGGTTGGGCTGAAGCAGGAATTCTACATCAAAGAAAAGTGTTGCAAGGTGATTTTTGCATTATGGCAGTGTTAACATTTTTCGAGTCAGTATAATTTGTGCCAAAGAACTTTAAGCTTTTAGTTGGAATTCGCTTAAACAAACGACCGGGTAAAACAATTGATTCTATTAATTTATATGTAAGTATAAAAATAATTCTGGGTTTTTATACTTGTCCATGTATCCTTCAAAATAGTATAGAGATTACAATGCTAAATTATTCAAGTGTTACTTTTTTCGCTTAGAAGAACTATGAGTAGAGGAATAATAGCACGGGCGTCCGTGGAACGCTTTAGTGTTACGCACGGCTGATTGACCGTTTAGAGATGACTCTTTGATCAATCATAAATTGTTTTTATTAATAATAATAATTCATTCCACGATATAACCTATGGCAGTTCCTCATTCATCATTTCATGGATGACAATGTTTGCACATTCATAAGTGAAAAGTTCGAAATTTTAATTCGTTAGCATTAGCATTTTTATGTATATTAATGTTTCTTAAGTAGTTCTCTGTTGATTCTTACATGCTTGAATGAATATTTGAATTTATTTAAAGCAGTACAAGAATCAAGCTCTCAACGTAGAATGGTGTCTCCCAGATATACAACACTAACTATTATTTGAGATCGGAACTCCAATTTAGCATTACCATTTGTAGCTGCGTTCATCTTTGCTCAGTAAATAGTTTCTAAATTTGACGTGTTTGTAGAAAAATAAGGGAAATAATTTAAAGTTCCAAACACGCATATTAATATTAATGATACACCTCCAACATTGACCATTTTAAAACAAACTTGTGCCAGTGAAAAAGGTCAAAGTGTCGCCAATAAAATCTTTGCTGGATCCGGTGTTCCTGCTCCTACAAAAGATGGCGAAAAAATACGTAATACTTGACTAAATAGAATATATGATTCACATTAGATTATTCAAATACAAAAATCAAATGCACAAACGGGAATGATGAATTAATCACGAGGTAAACAAACAATAATATTCGTCTATAGAATTACAGGTCTAACTTAGAACCCTATTAGTCATACAGTGTTGAAGTATTTTTTATCTATGACCTATGTTAAAAATAACATGCATACACCCTATTAAAACAGGTTACGGCGATAATTCGATTTATACAAAGATAAAAGCGAGCTGAACAAGAGTGATGAAAGTAATCCCTGGGGAAGGGGAACAAGGGTGTCAAAGCACAAACACACATCTCCAAACACAGCTGGGTGACTGGTACGCGACCGAAAAATTCCTCCTGGTCCTGGTATCCGGCAAGGGGCCTCTCCATCTCCAGTGGAGTGCTCTGCGAACTGAGCTAACCAGAAGGTAGACGTCAGTAGAGCAAGCGGGTTTTATTAGCGGCCACCAGTTCAAGAGCAACAAAAGTAATGGGCCTGCATCTTAAGGTTATGCTTATAATTCAATTTATGCAAAGGCGCAAGCGAGCTGGAAATGACCGGAAAAAGGGGGACATCGGAAATGCAGAGGTCCCCGGTTCAATACCAGGACCAGGCGGATTGTTTCGGCCGCACAGCAGCCACATATTTGTGTTAGGAGATTTGTGTTTGTCATTTGTTCCCCTTGTTCTGCTCCAGAGAGTATTTTCATAACTCTTAAAAATACCTTCATCCTGATTTCGTGCCGTCAATTTCACTTAAATATTCGTGTTTTTTCAGACTTCGTTGAGAAGTCTGACCTGCAACTCAGGCAACTCAAGAAACTACTACAAGGTGCAGGTACGTCTATACTCTCTAGAACAAAGTGATTTGAAACGTCTTAAAATGTCTTAGAACACACCGGAACCCTGGCGCCATCTATGCGGTGACTCTAGAACTGCTTTTCTCTAGAGCGAAGGTTGGGCGGGACTTTCGAGGTAAAATGTGCGTAACAGCTAAGACAAATGGTCGTTTATAACGGTGACAAAAGATTTTCGAGCCCAGAAAGAAAGGATGATGCGCGAGAGAAATAGAAATTATGCGGGACGGCCAAGTTTCTATTGCTACTCAATAGATGGCTCAAGTGTGTCCTCTCGTCGTAAGAGATTTTAAGAGGTTCCCAGGCGATCTTAAGTAAAGTCGCAAAATAAAATTGGCTCGTATTCATTCTAAGTTTCATTGATTGATACAGATCCCCAACTGCGGAAGGAAATCAGGCATCATGTCGGTAAGAAAACTTCACGGGAATAATTGTAAAAGCGTTCAGTGCGATAGCTAATTAACTTTTTTGCTGCTACAATTTATTTTAAAATGTACCTTGTCAATTTTCCTTGACACGGCATTCTTGACATCGAAGGCAATAATCTGTGGTTCTCGCCCTAGTTGTCGAGGTTAATAAGTAAAATAGCTTGACCCTGTTTTCTAAAACAGTTTGTTTATTAAACGCTCTGATCTGAAACGCGTGTCAATTGAAATAGAACTGAAAAAAGTAATATTTTGATTAAAAATATCCGTGAGTTAAAATAACATTAATACATTTCAACAATATTTGTCATGTTTCGTTTCGCATATTCAGTTACATATTTGAGGACGATAAAAGGCGGATAGCAAATAAAACTGTGCATATATTCCGGGACGTTTTTGTTTGATTTCTGTAAAATGTATAAAAACAATTCCTTTTGGGTTAGAGTAACAATGTGACTTTAACATAAATATGAGTCGCAATGTTCGTTAACAATTTCGATTTTGTTTGTAACCCATTGTTTGTTTTATGATCCTTACAGAAAACAAGCTAGAGCGTTTCGAACGGATACTCGACAGTGAAGGTACTTATGATTGTTCTTACAATTTACGCGGGTAATCTGGCAATAAAGCTTATAATCTCAAACACTAACTTCCACTAAATCTAAATGACATGAACGTGTAGTCGTGCTGTGTGCAAAACAACAACAACAACAACAGCAACAAAAAAACAAGCAAACAAATAGACACTAATCAGGTAGAAAGTAATTTGTATACCAGGTACTTGCATTACGTTACGGTAAAATATGATGCACCATTGTGCCTACGAAAACGCAAAACAATGTTTTTCTTAATCATCATAAAGCGACGGCGTTACATAAGGGGGTTGACGATTTAAGGAACAAGTCGTTATGTTTTCGACCATTGCTGAGTCTGCTGTTAATTTTATGTGCCTGGCAACCTATCTCTGGAGTGCAACCTCTCCCAAAAAATGGACTTGGAGACTTAAAAGATGGCTTCAGCTGCATGACTCATCCTTACACGTTTGAAATATGTCTTCATAAAATTCACCGGTAAAACATTTCACAAATACTGGGGTTTGCAAACCCCTGGCCCGAAGATGGAGGCTGTTGTTCCAGTGACTCCCGGTCCGCGGTCATCTGCTACAAACTCAAACCTAATCGCGCGTAAAAACAAAAATAAAATGGCCCCTCGACTCGCTATAAAGGTGCATTAAAAATATATTAACAATAGTTATTATTATCATTCCGGCTCAGGACAGCTGCGACGCCACAGAAAGGACGATGGCCCATACCGTGGAGGTCTGCGACGCTGCACAATGCAAGGTTGAACAGTCATGAATTTGTAGAGATGGCATTGACGTAGTGGTGTGAAAATTCCTGAAGATGAATACAAAGAGAGAGGAGGAGGGGGGATAAAGAGCGGAGATGTCTATGGGAACATATTTGAGGCCTGCCGGCAGAGAGCCCTAATGTCCTCGGGGTCAACGGGATTGTCTACAGCCAGCTCAGGGGGCAGAGAGCACCAGTTCCTGGTTGCGCGCATCAAACAGGACTCGAGGCGGCGTAGCGTACGGGCCAGGAGAGGCTGCATCTTTCCGCCACGAGAGTTGAAGCGAGGAAGAGGGCTTTATTGAGATTCCAACCGTATTGCAGAAGAGATGGATGAAAGCCACATCTCTTCTGTGTTCAAGGCTGTGTCAGTTAGCTCCCTGTAGGCGGGCTGTCGTCGATATGTCCCTGCAGGCTTCAAGCGCGGAACGAGGGACACTGCGGCTGTAGAGCGTGTAGGCAGCCCTGCGCTGGACACTCTAGGGCCCTTTTAAGGGCAAAACGCACCGGCGTTCCCAACGGCGTTCGCAAGTGCTTTTATGATCGTCGGTTAACCACGAGTGTGAATGCGGCGGAAAGCGCAAGCGCAATCGGAGATATAAGAAAGAACGGGAAAACACTACTTCACACGCGGTATCATTCGCCATAATGTTGTAAATTGTTATCCCCAGTAAAACTATTCGTAACTCTGTGCTTCAAGTCTGTGTAACTATGATACAATTCCTCAGCGTTCTCACGAATATCGGGCTTAGGGTTCTGTTTCATAACTCTTGCATGTTGTCAACAGAAGATCGACAGTTCTCATTAAACTTCTTTCATGTGTGAATATGCCAAAGATCCAATGCCCTCTAATTTATTCTTGGTGAGTTCTCGGGTTTAAATTTAAATTTTCATATCATAAAAAAAAAACAGAAGATCACATTTAAATGTAAAATATATGTATTCAATCACTTTACATTTCATTTTTAATTGTTGTTCTTGGTTATATTTCTTTATTTAAACGCTTATTTAGGCCTAATTATTTAGTAATTTTTTGAATTCATATCGTCATATATAGTTTCCGACCCTCTGCACTCCCCTGCAGAAAGCGTCTTGCTGAGAATATTCCAGACGCGTCTCGATGGCATGTTGTATGATCTAAGCTGGACTGCACTACATCGAGACAAATAAAAGCCGCACTCCAATGTTTGGCAGCATGAATAGAAATCATCCGTAGTTTTCTAAACTAAGGAGCCTCTCTGAAAATGGCACGAGTAGAAGTGTACTCTTGCAGCTACGGCAATGCATCCGGCACTGCTATTCCGTTATGTTTCCTCGAGGTACTTGATATGCAACTTACTTGCGACAAATGTACCTACACTTTGTCGGCCTCGGGTTTTCAAGATGTCAAAAGTTCCCCAGATCGCCTGCATGTTCTATGTTATTTTTATGAACCTGACTTTTTTCTTTGTTAATGGAGAACACGGTTTTTCTTTTCAAAGGAAGTTTTGAAACAATAATTAAATATGACTTTACTCGGTGTTGGTTATATTCTTTGCAACCCACATTGCGTCATCACACTGAACATTCTGATTCGTAAAGCGAGACGTTTGCTCGGAAGCTTTAATTATCAAGGAAGTTTAAACTATTTATTTTTCAAACTATTACACCGTGAAACAATAAAAAAAGAAAACAATAAATTACGTTTAGTAAATAGTCGCCTTCAACGTGATACTCAAGGTTGGTTCACACATTTGCATCGGTTGCGATCACACCGAACAAAACGACAGCAACGACCGGAACACTGGGAGAGCGTTAAGTCACGCTTGTTGCACAAAAGACCTATTGCATTGTTTCCCATGTTCTGTACCGGGACGAGTTGTCCCGGTGGCATTCTCGTTGCTGTGCTTTCGGTCGCTTCGAACGCTACTAACAGAACTGTCTTAACCAGTCTTTGCAGGAGACGTGAACAAGTTCTATTTGAAATAAGTTTGCATTGTACATCAATGATAAAACTATTGTCGTCTATCACACTGACCAAACTATAAATAATCTACCTTTGGCGTTCTGCGTGGTATTTAAAATATCACGATGGAAACTGATATTACGTTGATCTAGTATCCTTGTTTTTGTTTTCTGCAGGTGACGTTCAACCGAGAAGTAAGTTTGAATATTCCAATTAAAATAAGAATTCGCTGCAAGGAAGTGATTATATCTATGTGAAGAAAAGCTGATGACTGAAACCGGCAGAGTAATGCGCATTTGAAAGAACCAGGAATGACATGTTTTCTTACAAATCTCCGGACGATACAGGCCATTGCATTGGCCTGTTCTGTCCGGAAATAAAGTAGACGGACTCCTACATAACCTGCGGACGTGCGAGAAATTGCAATTTTGGTAAAGATTTGGAGTCCTGATCGCGGGTCAATGATACGATTATCCCAGACTTTGTACAAATTACCAATGTGTGCACGCAGTTTCTAACACTAAAACGTAAATTACACCTTTGTAAATATCACGATATGAAAAGCTCTACAATTCGACACCATTACCACCAACGGACGTCACTGACCGTCAACCACAGCCCCATCAACATCGGGCAACGAATCTTTACAAGTAATTTTATCGGAGTGCATCGCCACTGGTCCTGCCCTCCAGTGGCCGAGGCGAGCAACGCACATGCGTCATGCTTCCTTCCATTATCCCAGGAGGGAGATGAGGCGGAAGCGTCTCGCCCTGGCCACGCGGTGGCAGGACTGCATGGCGCAAAGATGCGCTCTGGTTGTAAACCGAAACCTAGAAATCCGTCCGAATTGGGCGTTTTCTAATGCCGCAGAATGTTGAACTTGTCTTATATCATTCGAAAATGATTCAATTTATTGCTTTTAGATGATGTTCAGAAAGTTTCTACTAGGAACCAATTATTTGCTTTTACTAATTGAAAACAAAATGAGTGGTAAATATTGATTCAATATTAACCTCGAAAGAATGTTTTTCAATCCCTCACATCCGCCGTGACTGACAGTTTGCTCGCGAAATGAGGTACCTCTTCTCAACCAGACTGCTTTTAGCGATTTTTGAAAATCTTGGTCGATGCACCCCGCATATTCTTGTGACCAAAACGAGATGGTGCACCAAACAAGCTACGTTCCCCAGCTAAGCGTAGGCCGGCACCTCAAGGCATAAATATTTTTTAAATTCCGTTCTACCAGCCTTATTCTCATTC